TGTGATAGTGCATGCCTGTAATTCCAGCTACTTGGAAGGCTGAGGTGGAAGGATCGCCAGAGCCCAGCAGGTTGAGGCTGCCTGCGGTGGCCAGGAGCGGTCACTGCACTCTAGTCTAGTCTGTCCAGTCTAGGTGACAGAGTGACACTCCAACTCAAAAAAAAAAAAAGTATTATATTAGAAAGCCTGGAAAATAGAAAAAACTCTCATGATTCTATCCTAACTTTTTATCCATTTTCTTCATTTTTTCAACTTTTTTTTTTTTTTTGAGTTGGAGTCTCATTATGTCACCCAGACTGGAGTGCAGTGGCCACTCCCGGCCACCGCAGCCTCAATCTGCTGGGCTCCGGCGATCCTTCTGCCTCAGCCTTCCAGGTAGCTGGAACTATAGGCGCGTGCTACCACGCCTGGCTAATTTTTGATTTATTGTAGAGATGAGGTCTCGCCAAGTTGCCCAGGCGGGTCTCGAACCCGCGGGCTCAGGCAATCCACTCACCTCAGCCTCCCAAAGGCTTGGATTACAGGCTGAGCCACCGAGCCCGGCTTCAAATTTTTTTAGAACCAAGTTTTTGGCCTGGCATGGTAGCTCATACCTGTAATCTCAGCACTTTGGGAGGTGGAGGTGAGAGGATTGCCTGAGCCCGGGGGTTCAAGATCAGCCTGGGCAACTTGGTGAGGCTTTGTCTCTACAATAAATAAAAAAATTAACTAGGCATAGTGGTATACACCTGTAGTCCCAGTTACTTTGAAGGCTGAGGCAGAAGAATCACCTGAGCCCAGGAGGTTGAGACTGCGGTGGTTGTGAGCATGCCACTGCACTCCATCCTGGGCGACAGCATGAGACTCCAATTTTAAAAAAAAGTTTTCATAATTTTTATTTTTCTGAAGAGATTGACCTGTGTAAGAGTCTGGTCAGGCTGGATGCAGTGGCTCAAGCCTGTAATCCCAGCACTTTGGGAGGCCGAGGTGAGAGGATTGCCTGAGCTCAGGGGTTCAAGACCAGCCCGTGCTTCTTGGTGAGACCTCATCTGTACAATAAGTTAAAAAATAAGCCGGGCATGGTAGCGCGTGCCTGTTGTTCAGCTACTTGGAAGGCTGAGGCGGAAGGATCACCTGTGCCCAGCAGGTCGAGGCTGCAGTGGCTGTGAACGTGCCACTGCACTCCAGCCTGGGCGACAGAGTGAGACTCCAACCCAAAAAAAGAGTCTAGTCAGACTTCTGGCCTCTGTCTTTCCAGTTTAGTGATGACAGAGCCTTCAGTGCAGGGACCAGCAAGGAACTGAAAGCACATCTGGTTTTGTATGTGTGTGGTGTTGATTAATTTGTACCTAGCTTTTATTCAGAGAATTAGATTTTAAGGCACTAATAAGATGCTGAAGGTAGTAATTTCTCTTACATATAAATTTAAAGTATATACATCTATATATCTATTACTTATTTTTTAATCTTTTCAAAAATTGTCTTTTAATTATAAAAATAATACAGCCCCATTACAAAATTTTGGAAGATAGAAGAAAGTTTTCTATAGTCCTAGCATTCTAATACAGCTATTGTTATTATCTTGATATTTTTCTTTTCCTCTCTATCTTTATTTTTTGTTAATTATGTCTCCAAAGGAAAGCACAGCAACTCTGCCTGTGCCTCGCTTTCTGTTTGTGAGCTGAGGGATAGGGATAGGTGCCTGAGGGCTCTCTGAGCTTTGAGAATGTGCACATGTTGCTGTTACAAAGGTGATATTGTTCTGAGGACATCCAGGGGAAGTGAAACCTTGGGAGAGCTGAGTGAATGCACCCGAACCCAGCTCCTTGAGAGCAGGGCTGGTCCTGGAAGGTGATAGCTGTTCAGCATGTATTTGTTAATGGAGTAAGAAAAGTAACAATGAAGGCAACTGTAGTGAAATTGTATATTATGATAGTTCCCATTGTTATTGGAACAGGAAAATCCATAGAGGGAGTTTTGGAAAGGACAGTTGCTAATATGCACTTTTTTCCTCCCAAGGTTTTAAGGGCAGTTTTAGTGAGTTTGAAGGAATGGATCCAGTCGAAGCGATGATTCTAAGTTGGTTGTGGATTACAGTCTCAGGATGTGTGTTTACAACGACAGGTTTTAGTTAGCCACATCCTAAACCTCCTGAGCTTGTCCTAAATGCAGTGCTGGGTGCCTGCTCCACAGATGGGCTGCCCTGGCCTGGCTCCTGACTGGCAGAAGGCCGTTGGGAACTTCTCAGTGCCTCCATCTACATGGCTGTGAAATAAGGAAGTTGCTTGACTGAGACCCCTGGATTCCTTAAATCTTTAAAAATCACAGATCTAAGAAAGTTGAAATCACTTTTTTTGTGGTAGCAAAAATGTGCAGCTACCGTCTTCCCCCACACTTCCTGACCACCGTGTGCCAGGTGCTGAGAATACACAGATGAAACAGTAGTGGGCCGTGGCCTCAGGCATTCATTCTCTCACCCAAGGTGCAGACATTTGCGTGACTGTTACTACTCCAAGTAGTACTTGGAACTGTGAAATTATGCAGCAGAAGTCCTTTGCATTTCCTGGGGCTTTGCTAGGAACCCAGGGGCATAGAGATGACTGAGACCTAGCTCCTGCCTTTAGGGAGTTTATAGAATGTAGGAAGGAGAGGTCCATTCTGCCAGAAGACAGGGAGGGCCCTGCAGAAAAGCCGTGTTCAGTAGCAAGACTGCCAAGAGCTGAAGAGGGCCAAGCCTGACTCAAAGCAGCTGGAGGGCTGAAGTCTGGTAGGTAGGTGTGTTAGCAAAGGATGACAAGCTGGTAAGGGCGATGTTGGTGAAAGGAGCCTAAAAAATAGTTTGAGGTCAGTGTACAAAAGCCTTCAAATGCAGAATTAAGGAGCCTATGCTTTTTGCAGACATTAAAGAGCCATTTAAAGGTGTGAAAGAACCTAGCGCAGTGGCTTACACCTGTAATCCTAGCAGTTTGGGAGGCTGAGAGTAGAGGATTACTTGAGCCCAGAAGTTCAAGATCAGCCTGCGCAATGAAGTGAGACTTTGTCTCTAAGAAAAATAAAAAAATTAGCCAGGCATGGTGGTGCTTGTCGGTAGTTCCAGCTACTTGAGAGGCTAAGGCAGGAGGATTGCCTGAGCCCAGGAGATGGAGGTTATGGTGAGCCGTGATCATGCTACTGCACTCCAGCCTGAGTGACAAGTGAGGCCCCACCTCAGAAACATAAATAAATAAATAAAAATAAAGTTGTGAAAGCAAAGATTTGCAAAAACTGGAACTATTAGCAGTGATGGTAGATCAGAGCAGTGCAAAGATGCAGGCCTGTGAGGACCTGTGGAGGTCCCTGCCATAAACTCAATGGTAAGGAGCTTATAGGCAGGGAGGGTCAGAGAAGAATCTTGAAAAGATCATCCCTGCTTATAGGCTCTTGATGCTTCCTAGTTGAGCAAGTTGCTAGGAGCTAAGAATTTAACCTTCAGGACAGTGAGCACTGCATAGCGCTCCTTTTCCATAGTGGTCAATGCTTTTCACTCATGGATAAGAAAATTCATGGAAGCCCGGTGGGTAGGACTCAGGGTGGGCACTGTTTAGGGCTTTTTTTCCATAGTGGTCAATGCTTTTCTCTCATGGAGGAAAAAATTCATGGGAGCCAGGGGCAGTGGGGCTCCAGGCTGTTGTGCCCCTTAAGGCATTAGATTGTCTTAGATTTGAATCATGAACTCCAGCTCCAGAGCCTTGCTAGCCTACAGGGAGTTCTCTCCACTCCAGAGGAACCTTTTTTTTTTTTGAGTTGGAGTCTCACTCTGTCACCCAGACTGGAGTGCAGTGGC